CTTTCCCCCCCCCGCCCCTCTTTTGGGGGAAAAGGGGGGGGGGGGGGGCCACCCCAGCCCAACCCCCACCTTAACCGTAACCCCCTTAAAAAAGGGAGCCCGGGGGGGGGGAAACCCGGGGGCTCAAACCCCAAAAAACCCCACCGCCCCAAATTTTTGGGGGTTCTTGGGGGGGGGGGAAAAACCCCCCACCCCCTTTCCCCCCGAAAAAAAAATTTCCCCCCCCCCCCCCCCCCCCCCCTCCGTTCGTTCAATACTCAGTATAGGCTGGTGGCAAATCGTCAGCGCCTCCCCCCCCTGCCCCGTACCCCGCGGCCTGCGGCGGCACCGGCGGATCCTTCGCCGGACTAACCCCGCCGCCCCCCGTGACGATGCTCCCTGGCGGCCGCTTGTTGGCCGGCTCGATGCCGTTGCTCTGCATGTACGAGATGAACTGCCCGGGGATCTCGGCGAGCACGTGCTTGGCGAGGGCGTGCTGCGCCGCGGACCCGAACCCGTTGAAGTCCCGAAACGGCACGAACTGAACCATGTCCCGGGAGGCCACCTTGCCGGTGAAAGGGGAGGTGAGTCGCTGGCGATCGCCATCGAGGTGCTCCATTGCAGTGAAGTCGCCCTGGCCCACGCCCACGATCACGATCGAGAGGGGCGCGTCGGTCGCGTCGACGATGGCCGAGACCGTGGCGTCCTGCGTAGATACACACATGAAAAAAAAAAAAAAAAGAGGTAGGGTTGGGGCGTTCCGGACTTGTTGCTTGATGAGATCTTGCCTCGGAGAGATTTTCGGAGTGGGAGCAGAAACCCTGTCCTCTATAGAGGCTTGAGAAGGGGTCAAGAAAAAGCGGTCTGGATATAGAGCCAAGAGGAAATCAACGCTATGATACAACGAGCCCCTTGAAGCGCAGCAATGGGGGGATTGTAGCCGCATGTGGTGTGTATTGAAAAAATACTTATGACGTAGTATAGCAAGACTGAATATATGACGAGATACGGACGGCGTTAAGAAACATATTCTTTCTTCTGTTAGTGTTGAGGGTGAGATTTTTGGTGGTGGCAACCAAGAATACAGGACATATTGACGAGTTTACTCAGCTTGGAAGCGTTGGGGGATCTACAGCTTCGGCGGACAACAACCTCACAGAGAGTGGGCAGAACCGAGCTGAACACCAAACACCTACAGGTGGCAAGTGCGCATCGTTGGGGCACTACTGTTACATTGCCGATTGTGAACCATGCAATCCAAATCCTACAACACCGGGTTGGCGTAAGTCGCTCACCATGTCGTTGATGATGCCATCCGTCATGACGCAGAGGACGTGGTACTTTTGACCCACCTGCAAAAAATCGAGAGCCAAAACACGGAGGCAGGCAACCCACACAAACAATTTCAGTGGATGACCTCGAGCGGCGGAGCGTGGGGAACGAACCATTTCTGGAGCAAGACTAAGACGCGTCTCCTTGCCCTCCTTCCCTTCCCTTCTCTTCCTCCACGATCTCTCTTCGATAGCGCGCTCTCATCAGGTTTCATGTGTGTAGGTTACTGTGTGGGCGTGTTCGTGTTGCCTCTTCTCAATACTGCTATAGATGGGGGACAGCATACAACGGAAACGTTAAAAGAGAGCTGGACACAGCAGCATCTAGAGGAAAGAGGGAAGAAAGCACAAAGGAAGGGCTGGAAACAGCAGCGTCTAGCTGATCATGGCGGCGTTGATCGCTACTGAGGAGGGGCGACCTCACAACAACGCGCTGGATGCACTTGCGGAGAGCTTTCCGATACCTCAGGCCACCAACTCTGCTCCCGAACGGCCCCAGTAACGACACCCGCTCTCACAAACACACCGCCACCACCGGACAAGAAAGGACAAACTGGCTTACCGGGTTGCGGTGCTTGGTGCTGTTGGCTATTTGCGCCGCCTGGTTGATGATCGCCTGGAAAAGCGTAGGACCCGACAGCTGAACTCTCCGCAGGCTTTGGTAGTACGCCTGCCAAACAACCACAAGCGGGCGCGGGGGGGGGGAGGAGTTCACTCATGACCGTACGTGTATGCATGCCGTAAATGTCGCCAAGCATGTTCGTTTCTCTGCTACCTACGGGCAGAGGTCGCTACGCTTGCTTCACAGGCGAAGAAAGCACAAGAACATCAACATGTGAGTTCACGGTGTCTCTGAGAACCTACTTCTACGCTGCTTCATGTACCTGAGGAACGTGTACGCGAATAACAGCAGCGACGGAAGTATGCGCGCATGTGTTGTAGTCCGCGAAATGGTGCGGAGCGACAGCTACAGGCAGTTGAAACACGTTCCTTAAGTAGGAGGGTAGGTTCTCATATACGTCCGGAATTCACAAACACAACAATAACAACAACAGTGTCATTGCTCCACAAGAGTTCGCCCACCACAGCTTGCTTGCAAACAATTGCTGGGTTTCAACACCAAGACTATTTTGGCCTCCCCCCAGGTCAAAGGCGGAGGGGAGAGAAGCTGCTGCAGAGACGTCCAGCTTTGAATACGTGGGTGATGGGGTAAAACCAAAAACAGTCAACTGGCTCAGGAAGATGCTCACGAGCTAAGCGCGTTCGTGATTGGTGCGGAGACAAGGAAGAACAACCATCTACATATGTTGTTAAGTCTATATGAGAGAGAGGTCGCGAGTGATGTTCGATGTGGCGACGACAACGACAAAATAAAGAACAAATAACGAGAACAACCACAAAGAAAAAATATCAACAACAATACCAACCAAACAACAAAACAGCACCACTCACTAAAGAAAATTTTAAAGCACTACCGCACCTCTCCGTACGTAACATGTGCTCTTCATACATCCGAATACGGCATGCGCGGCTACGAGTACAACCCCCCCCCTTCGTGCCATAAGCTTGGTCTCCATCCTCCCCTGGCCCAGTGATCCCCCCCCCCCCCCCCCCCCCCGAAAAAAAAAATGGGGGGGGGGGGAACCCCCCAAAAAGGGGAACGGCGGGGAAAGGAGGAAAAAGCGCCGGAATGGGCCGGAACCAAAAAAAAAAAAAACCCCGAAAAATTCAATGGGAAAAGGGGGGGGGAAAAACACCGGGGGGAAAAAAAGAAACCTACCCGGGAG